GTGGTATGAGGTGATTTTTTTTATCTCTTTGAGCTTTATTTTGTGGCTTCAAACATTTTCCAATGGGCTAGAAAGGGGGGAGAGGAGTGGGATGTGTGCAAGCAAGCTCCTTACAAAACTTGCACCACCCCCCCACCCCACCTCCCTATCATAGAGAGTTGTAAAAAATTGCAAAATATCTATCAAACTTACTCGTTTCGTCATGTTTTCTAGTCTGTCCTTCAGTGCAACATTATACCCAGGTAGCTTAACTGAACGAGGCTTTGGTTTAACTATAAATAAAATTAAACATGGAAAAACATTAACAGATTTGTATTCAAAATGGTCTTTAATTGGAGGGGGTCTATAGTTGGAGGGAGAACTATGGGCCTTCCTGAAATAATATAATGGCATATTCATTTTAATTCCTTTGTAATAAATTTAGACATGATACAGAGCAGGTCTTCAGTTAGTTCATAATTTCCTATATTTCACAATAAATATAAATTATCAAAGTATTACACTGGGGTTTTAGAAAGTATTTTTAATTCAATTCAGAACATGTGATCGTAAACAGGAAAAATCATTAAAAGCCATGTAAATGGATTACGTGCAGTTCCACAGTGTGTGTCTCTGATGTGACCTCTGACATCGAGAGAGGAAACATATCAATCATCCCCCCGGCTACATCTAAAATCTTTACACCTACAACAGTGTGTATATGTCAGGATATTTATAGAAACCACTCATTCACAAAATACAAAGTTTTTATCTTGACTCACCATGCTGATGTCTTCTGACTACTTGCACTTCATACGGCCTGAAAACAAATAAAATTAAACACATGTTTAAATCAGGTGGATACTGGGTAAAATCTGTTATCAAAGATAAAGTCTCATTCAGACTATCAAATCTTATTTGACAAAAACATGTGATATGCCTAAATATGGTCATGATGACATCACATTATGGCACCTCTGGACGGCCAGAAATGGCACTTTTAGACAACATAACTTTTATTCATCCAAAAAATTTGGATATTATTTTAGACTTAAATTTTTCTTTTTTCTCAATTTTTGTTAAATTTTGAAAGATTTAGGAGGTGGGAGGTTGGGGTGGAGGTAGGTGCAGGTGCAGGCCCCCCATTAAATCTGCCACTGGTTTAATATAATAATTCAGTGTTATTTGGCAATCGAATCTCTATCAGGTCTATTCCTATTGTCTAACTTGTACTGTATGCATATTGACAATGTCCAGGGTACAATTAAAATTAGTAACGTACAGAATTTATTATTTGATACATTGTAAACATAAACTCTAGAGTAGAAGTCATGGAAATATTAATGAAAAGGATTTAGAAGCGATTAATTACCAGCTTTCATCGATAAACGGTCAGCTTTATACAATTCTCAGACTCGCAGAACAGTGGTTTTCAAAAAAAAAAAAAAAAACAGAAATAAAAAAAATATTCAATGCGCGAATTTTAACAATAATTTTTTACGTGGGCGACGTGAGGTACTATACAGTTCACACTAAAATTTGTGAAACTTTAAACAAGAAATAAACAAATTCAACATAGATAAAACTTACATATGTTTGGTATTTGGAGCAACAAAACCATTTATAGGTATCACTGATCCACGTTTATTTCTCAACTGAAAAAAAAAATGATATTTTCTCATATTTCATTTAAATAAACTTATTACTGTAGTAACTACAAATACTGTAACATATTCTGAACTTTTAAATTATTACATATTCTGAACTTAAATATTATTATTTTAAATTATTACATATTCTGAACTTAAATATTATTCTCCTGAAGACGGTTAAAGCAAGTCAACCGAAACGTCAAGATATTCTCAACCAACAACAACAGTTCTTTTCAGAACTATCTACGTGGTGTACCGCAAGCATTAATTTAAAACATAAACTTTTTAATTATTTATGTTTATTACATCTAAAAGGCTAATATTATTACTGATAAGAATTAGTAATTAATATTCAGTTAACTGGTAACTAAAAATACTGAACATTTTTTTTTTAATTTTTGAATAATTGTTAATACATTATATTTAAATATAGGCTAAGGCTATTACAGATATGAATCAAGACAGTTTATTTTTAGTCAGAAACAAAACAGAAATCTACATCATAACTGTTGTGATGATGGATTCAATATGAGATTGTCGTTATCATTATTACCAGCTGTGGTGATGAGAATGCCTGCAGATGCCTGGTAATCGCTGTCAAAACTGGATGAAATTTTGAGCTGTTGTTGGTCTCTAAAGTCATATAATTGCTGTAATTGCCTTTTTAAAATCAAGGACGTTAATGCAATAATTAATTCTAATGGCAAATAAAATACTATCAAACAATAGCCTTAAAGCCCAAATTTTATTTGACAAAAAAATGTGACCTAATATATTCATGACGACATCACATCATGATGATATAAATATTCAACAGTTTTCGGTGAAATAAAATACATTTTTTGCTGCATTTGTGCTGTGTTTGCTGTTGCTACTGGTTTATTGTTTATACAGTAGTCTTTTTAATCCTTTTGAAAATTGTTTCCCTTTCTGAGCTGATTCTTATATTTTTAATTCTTGATGTATTTTATCGTTATTGGGTTAACTTCTTGTTGCCTTGATGTGTTTTTCTTTTTTTGGAGGTTTTTTTTTATGTTTTTCTATTGAATTTTTTGGCTTAATTTTGTTGTGATTGTTGTTAAGTCTCTGTTTTTTTTTTTTGCTTATGTAAATTTTTTCATAATTCAACTAAGTTTGCGATGAGTTGGATAATAAAACCAGAAATGAAGAAAAATATGATAGTCAGAAGAGGACTTTAAACCGAAAGGTATCATTTTCCTTATAAAAGCACATGATGGTAACTTTGGTATAGAGATACACCACTAACTGATAATTATAGATAATTTTTATTGTATTTCCAGGTGCATCAATCGCAGTATGACTGACAAAAACAAATTTAACATTCTATAATGCGAATGATAAAAAAAGTACCGAATTGTCTCTAATAAACGCCCCGGGGGCGTTGCATTTTTTCAAAAGGGGGGGGGGGCGTTTACTAGGTGAATTGTAAAATCAAAAATTACTAAAACAAGCTGTTTAAACGGTCAATAAGTTCTTTATTTGTAGAGGAACAAGTTAATGTGCAGGGTATCTCC